TTTGCTAGTTAAATCAAATACAGTAACATGCAGAGTATTCTTCGTTTAAATACTATAAAATGTTCCTTTGAACTCTTATTCCTTGTGAATAGGAAACTGTTGCAGCTCTCTGCAATTAACTCAATTAGATGAGTTTTTTCTGAACAAAAGCAGCAATACTGTACAGCATAAAGCTTTGGGGTAGTTCTAGGACCACCTCTTTTATATTCATTCTTCCCTTCTCTAATCCTGACGCCACATGCATGCTTTGTTTAAACCTGTGCTACAAAAGTGCCAAAAGCTTAAACTCACCATAGGAGGCTGATTTTGCAGAAGATGACTAAGACAGGTAGCTTGTCAAATGGAAACAGACTTCCATTTGCTTACATAGAAAATGAAATCTACATATTAAGACATCTTTTCATGTAGAAAAAAATTACATGAGTTCATTGTCCATTTTAACTTATTGTTTGTACTCTAACATTAAAGGCCAGTGGAAATCAAAATTCAGCAAAGTTAGACAATTCTCTTGTCCCTCTGTGTTAATATCAGTGCTTGATGAAAAATATGTGTTTCTCCTCATCTCACCTCCAGTTATAGTTCCTGGTCCGACATATGAAAAATTAAAATATGGAAAGATTGTATTCAATAAGGAATGAAGCCTTGAGTTATAGGCAGCTGGTCTCTGCAGCGAAATACAAAATCATAAAATAACTGTTTAGGAACTTATTGTAGCATGTAGGAAAAGCATGTGGGAAAAGCACAGAAATCCTTAATAGGTTTGCTATTCAATTTGCTTTTGTCCGTTATATAAGTACTAAGTACTATTATTTAAGTACTTATGTACTTAAGTACTCATAAATCCCTTATTCTTGTACTATGTAGGAAGTTAACAGTGAGGATTATTCTGCATTCCAGTGTAAAAGCTTAAAGAAAGGTTTTTGAAAGCTTCATTGCTGTGACCCCAGCCTTGCTTCATTAAAATTCCATTCTTTTGTCTGCCAAAAGTAAGTTACTTTATTCCCATTAAAAGTTTGGCCCAGTCATAGCAAGAGGCATGTGAACGCTTTTTCCCTGTGATTAGTGTTAGACTTCAATGCGGCCTATTTGTTAATTCTGTGAAGCATTGTTTATGAGGAATCAAAATTCCTAGGAGATTCAGAAGAAATAGATCTATATAATTTTACAAGTTGAAGATTTAAAAAAAATACTTTTATATTTCTTTAAATCTTAAAATATAATAAACTTACTTTAAAGGGGAGTTCAGCTTGGCAGGCACCTTTATCATTAATCTTTATGCACTTCTGAAAAATCATCAAATGTTCTAACCAGCTTATGGAAAGGTTTTGCTTGATGTAGTATCAATTTCCTCTTGTAAAGAGAAAGATTAATTTGTAGGGGAAGTAGAGTAGAAAATGTTCAAAATTATTTAATCCAAAGCACAAGTGATGACTTTTGCAAATGACTGGATTCCTTTCCAGTTAGAATATTGCAAGGCCCCAGGGCAGGGTGCAGACATCATCTTTTCTGATCACACCTCAACCACCAACTGAACTACAAGGATCTGGGAGAAAACTCTATTCAAATTATAAAAACTCACAAAGAAATGCTACCCACAGTGATAAGCAAGTCCCAAAGAGAATGGCAAAAAGAAGTAAAAGGAAAGGCTTATGTATTCCCTTCCATATTTTTATTCGTTGTCACACTAGTGGATATTCCAGAATTTCATGCAACTTTCATAGTGAAAACAAATATCAAAAAGCAGCACAGATATGAAACCTGATTACACAGTGTCCTCTGAAGGCAAAATCTTGCTTTATGTAGGCTCTAATCTTGATTTATTTAGGCTTTTAGTCGAGTTGGCACATGTTCATATTTTGTATACATTAGTTCATGATGAAAAACATAAAGCAAACAGGTTTGTCTACTTTTCACCTGAATTTAAGTGTATAAATAGTCAATCTAATTCTAAGCCTTCTCACTGCAAGCACCCCTTGACAGATAACTAATAGGTACTCTAGCCTATTCAAAACTTCTCTTCTCCTCTGATTACAGAAGCCTTGGAGACCAAACTTAGGCAACTAGATTAGTGCATCTAGTGCACCTGGTACACCAGTTTAATGCATCAAAAATTAGGTGGAATGCTCCTTATAATCATTCTATTTAGAGCACATACAGATTTTATTCTTCTTAAAAAGGGCAAATAATAAGTTTGCTATTCCATTTTCTGTCTTTTCTGAGTGCCTGTGGAAGGTTTATAATTGTGAGGGGTCCCATGCATCTCATAGCTTGATCTTATTTATGCAGGAATTTCTATATTATCATTTCAGATCAGGGATGTATAATAGATAAATCAGTTTACAATTGGAACTGTAAAACATTTTGTTTATCATGGATAATTTGAAAAACATGAAAGTAGACAAGAAGTCCTGTGAAAGTAAAGCACTGTGATTCACTTAGAAGAAATGATCTAAACCAAGCTATTAACAAATAATTCTTACATTCAAATTCAATCCTTTGTTTGTTTGTTTGACAAGATTAACGGATATTTACTGACAGTAAATAACAGATAACTGACAAGATTAACTGATTACTGTCAGTGAATGAATAGTTTAAAAAGTAGTTCTCATCTGGAGATACATTCAGTATGAAATTTACAATGGCACTATGTTCCAATAAATTGCAATAGGAAAAAAGTACAGAATCTTATTTGTTGGCCATAACTTTGCAAATCTTTTATCAAAATGTTTTACTGAAGTGTTAAGTGGGAAAGGCTGATTCCACTGGAGTTGTTCTGTGGTTGTCTTCCTTAAGAGCTATTCTTTGCTTGCTGTAGGCCTAAAAGGTGAGGGTTTGAAGGTTTGAGATCACATGAACTTGTTGCAGGATGTTGCTTTCCTTTCACAATCTTGATTTTCTACATTTCTCTCTTTTATCATTTTACTGAAGGAAGGTGCAACACCTTTTCAAAGACTTAGTGAAATTAAATATTAGCTACTATGAATATTTCACTTGCTCAGTGCTTTGTAAGATATTTTGGATATAAATTCAGGACATGGATGTGCAGTCTGATAATTCATGTGTATATGCAGTCTAATTATCATAGTTCTTGTAGCACGAATTCTCAGAACATTTGTAAAATTTTCCTTATTTTTGTTTATTTCATCCATATCATATATTAAGAAATTCCTTCAGTTCCACAAGAAAGAGTTGAATTCCTGCCTCAGAAGGCTCTCTAAACTCTAATATCATCCAAAGAGGCCTTTTAATTCTCAAAATATTCCTTCCAGCCCTGAATACTTCAGATGTTCTCAGTGAAATATTTATTGAAGACATCAGCTCTTCTTCATAACAAGCTTTGTAGAGGCTCTTTTTACTTTTCCAAACCCAGTAAGAAACTGTTTCACAACACTTAATGACTCAAAATATAAATATTCCATATTATATGGCTTCTTACTGTTAAATGATTTTGCTGTATTTTTGCAGCAAAGGTTTTATTATTTTATTGAAAAATAGAAGCAGAAAGATGCAAACATTTGCAAATAAGCATCTTAATAGGAATATGTCTGAGAGAGATAGTTACAAAAAGAGCATAGGATTTCCCCTGTATGTGGAGGCAGAGGAGCAGACATAACTGAAATATTTCCCTACTGCGCTCGTTCTCCCTAAAGTTAATTCATTTAAGACGTTAAAGAGCTCATAAAAGGAGTAGTTTTTTAGCATACCGCAACATCATTTTCTGGGAAACTACACTGTGTGGTTGTTTTCTAGGGCATGGTAATGGATGGAGGATGGGGATTGCCCTTGTTTCCAGATCTTTGGTGGGTTGAAATTGCCTTCAAGACATTTTTCTTTACCTCACTGAAACTAAAAGAACTTGAAGCTTCTTAAGTGAAGAAGCTTAGTGGGCATAAGCCTGCAGACTCATCTCGACACCCACTATGTTTTTTATTATCTTGGACTCTGAGAAACTCATGCCAGGCATCATTCAAAAATATCTGAGTGAGAACTTATTTAAAGAATGGGTAGATTGCTTGCAAGTAAATTTTATTCTGATATTAATCTCTTTGTTTTATGCCTGAAGTTGGATTCAAGCATACCACAATATTTATTCTCTCTTGCAGGCAGGAGAAGTCGTAGCATTGCATGAATTTTGCTCAATACATATATATTTTTTTGCTTAATGCCTCCTTACCCAAAAGGAAATAATTAATGAGAATTCCTGCATTTGTTGAATAAAATTAAGTATCTAGCTTTCACTGCAGCAGAGAAAAGCTTGAGAACATGTTTCATTGCATCCTAAAAATTAAGAAGAAAATGTATTTCCCAGAGCTAATATTGCCTTTAAGCTGTTTCTTGATTTTGAGGAGCCTGCCATCATTTTCAAATACGCCAAATTAATATTACTTGGATGGAATGTGCTTTCACATACGGGATGGTCTTCTGATTGCTGTGAGGACATATTTAACTTTTTAAAGTCATGCATACACACACAGAGTAACACAAATGTGTGTGGGAGGGGTGTATACGCTGTGTGTGCATATTTATTTTATTGAGACTACTGCTTAGCATACTTTAAACACATGGAGAAATTATTGTAAATCCATATAACTTAATTTAATTCATGCAGATCTGATGTAGCTATTAAGGGCAACAGAATCTGACTGAGGAAAAGCATTGTGAAAAATATTATTAATAAAGACAGGGCAAAAAAGATAGTGAGAAATTGATGATAATCACAGAGCGCAATGAAAAATGACCATTCTCCCTACTTTTTCCTCCTATAATATGATGGACAAGAGGATTGCTTCAAATTCATGAGGCTTTTTTTATTTACTACCAGAAATAGAACAGCCGAGAACTATCTGTGGGGTTCACAGGCACAGAAGCTCAGCAACATGCCAAATACTGTGGAACTAAAAATAAATGAACAACAACAACAAACTGCTGACCGTTAGCTATGAGATCCTGGATAATAAGAGTTATAAAAGTATTATGCTTCAGCAAGCTTATCATCTGAGAAGGTCATGAAGAATTACACTGCTACACCCAGTGAACTTTAGGTTATGGAGAAATGTTATTACCTTCCTGGGCGAAAAGGGGTAGCTGTGTTTGAGACTCATCTGCTGTTATGGTCAAAGACTTACAGCTCATGGTAAGTCACATAACTTTTCATGTGCACTGTGATGTGCTTCAGGGTCCTAGGCCTGTTTTATTCATATTAAGATCTACACAGAGAGCCTTATGGATCCCATCTGTGGCAAACGCCTGGGCATGCGTCGGTGTGAAAACCAGCAGTGGTGAGTATGCTCATCTGGGACCGTTACATCCCCATACAGACACCCTTTGAGGCCACCAGTAGACATTACGTAATGGTGTCATTGAGTATACTGGAATAAGACTGAAAGACCATGCACTGCTGTACTGTGCATTAAGTCTTGTGGGATCGACTGGTCAAATCCTCAGGAATTTGAGCTGTTTTACCGTATGCAAATGAGATTTCAGTGGGTTATTTGCCCTTGCCTGGGTGGCTGAATCTGCACATGTAACCTGTAGGAAAGTAGCAAGGGGAAGGCAAGCCTTTCTGCAGCTGGCGGATGGTCACAAAAGAAAATTCATCCTATGATTTCCTGTAATGAAGAAGATAATATGCGCAGGAAACAGCAGATAATCTGGGACAAAGACTTGTGAGACCTACCATTACAGAAACATGGGCTCATTATATTAGCTTAAACCTCTGCCCCACCTAGTAAGATAGGGTGACCCTGAGGGTGACCGGAATCAGATGCTTCAAGGCAATGGGTGAGGAAATTCTGTATCTATTGAAAATAAAGAAGTAAATACACCTCTTTTACAAAGCGTTAGTACTCCAGATGTAAATGTACAAACTTGCATAATCGCTGTTTTGCAGGAGTGACAATAACATCGCAGCTTTGCACAAGATATTTTATAGTGAATTCTCAGGTAAATAGATAAAGAATATATTTTTTCCAACATTTTTTCTTCTGTTTTCAGAAACACTGTTAGAAAATAGTCTTGATTCCATCCCTCAAAAAATAATTATTTGTGTATTTAAATTAAATAGTAGCATTGGAAACTTTATCCTGTGTTGTATCTGGATCATATGGAAAAGTGTTCACCTTTTCTCTGTTAAAATATCTGTTATTCTTTCCCTCGATGCTTAACTTTTCCCTCATAATATCCTACAGTCAAATAAATTCCTGTATTTAATTTTTCTTTCTCTTTCTTTTTTCTTTTTTTAACAACCTATTCTCTCTAAGTTACCTTTTCATTCGGATGGATAATGAAAATAGTAACATTTTGTATTCCAGAAGACCATCATTTGCATAACTGATTTACTGAAACATGCTGGAGCAATTGGCATTGTAAAATATTATGAGTACTAAAAGTGCTTTTTTCATTAATCACTGTAAATGGTTCTGACATTTTTAAAGGGCCAATTTTATGTGGAAATTATCCAAACCCTTTGGGTAAAATGATTTGTTATTTAAAACCTCTTAACATGGAGTGGTGATACTACTTCAGTTTGTTCAAGAGAGAATTTTATAGCCTTTCGGGGCTAGATCTAGCCATATCTGCAGCTATATCTAAATGCAGCATTTATTGAATTTAGACATTTTTGGTTGTATTTATAATAAGTATCTAATATTATAGTTATGCTTTTTCAGCTAAAGATACAATTTTACAAATGAGTAAATTGTACAAATGAGTAAAGGAACAACCTTTATCTTCATGTATTTGTTTTAATAACTAATCATTCAGATAATCAGCTTAGCCAAGCCTGAGATATTTCCTGATTTCATGAAAGAAAAAATATAGAATTTTTACTTACCTTCTCACTATACCAGAGCTTTATCTTGAAAATTTCAAAAACCATAGATAGCTTTTTTTCATGTTTCTTAATTTTCCTCACATAGCACATACTGAAACATTGCAAAGAAGTTAATATGTGAGAATTTTTATTGTGGGAAATCATTAGTTCATATGAACTACATTTCCTGTTGCAATTATCTTCTTGTATTCATCATTCAGCAGATTATTTTAGATCTTTCACAAAGATGACTGTAACTACGTATCAAATCTGGAAAATACTCTGGTCTTGCCTGATAAAACTCTATGTTCTTTCAATCATTCCAACCAGATGAGTTCATGAATTTTTCCACTGAAAGAGTCTAAAATGTGCATTCACTGAGATATCTTCCTCAGAGGCTGGCATGCAGGAAAAGAGCTGATCACCTCTGATCATCTGGAAGTACCAGCACAGGTAGCCTCCTAGGGTTAATAAGCGCAGTGCTTGAAAAGACTTTGTAGCATAAAGTTGACAGCTTTACTCCATTGTGCTGTTTTCCTTACAGCATTAGCTGTCTACTGCATTTCTCACTTCTGAGTGGCTTTTCTACCTCAGGCTGAATAAGGGGCTGCAGATAAAGAAGAGATCATAAAAAGTAAGTGAGGAAAAACAGGAAATAAAGAAAGAGCTTTTGAGAACAGGTTCAGGGCTCATTTTCTCACTGAAGAAACAGTGATGTTGTCCTTGACAATCTCACTTTCATTTACTTTCTCTTTCTTTTACTTTTTCTCTTTCTCTTCAGATTCAGTTTAAGAAGACACCCAAGAGCATACTGGGTCCCTCCTACAAGGCCCTGTTCTCCATTTCCTTCATTCCCTGCCATGATGAAAATCATTGCTGTGTTGCAGCCATGCAACTTTAGTGTATCTGTATGTGTGGGTGTAGTATGTGTGGGTGTATACTGTAGTATAGTAAGTGAAAAAGGCAGAAAATGTGAATTAGTTATTTTTCATGGAAATTACCTTTGGCACAAACAGATCACAATCAGTGCTTCGATGAATACTGTGTAACAGTTGTACTTCAACTGAACAGCAAAAAATATATACTTCCATTACCTATTTAAGGTTTCTGTATTCAGATGAATGGCATCATTGTTTAGCTATATTTAGTAGCTTAGGCAGGAATCAAAAAATCCACAGATAGCACGTAATCATATAGTTATAACTACTCAGTAATACCAAGTTTACCATGAAATCTTACAAAATGGAGAATGGATAGTGTTGATAGCTTCTTCCAAGGTGTGTCTCTCCTGCTGGCTACTAACTGCTATTGACACACCAACTAATAATGTCAGTAACCACCTACGTTCTAGCCATTTGACTCCAAACCATTTTTGGCACCTCAGGATGGAGCATTTCACTGATCACAACTGGCTGTCACAGAATATTCCCAGACACCTGTCTTCCTCTCACAGAATATTCCCAGACACCTGTCTTGAGGAAGACAGGAGGAGGAGGATTTGCCCAACAGCAAATTTGCCCAAATCTGAGGAGATTTGCCCAACAGCACACATTTTATTGCACCCTGGTTTTTTTTCCCCCATGCAGATTTGCCCAGGTTGCCCAGAGAGGTAGTGGAGTCTCCTTCCCTGGAGATATTCAAAACCCGTCTGGATGTGATCCTGGGCAATATGCTCTAGAGGTCCCTGCTTGAGCAGGGAGGTTGGATTAGGTGATCTCCAGAGGTCCCTTCCAACCTAAACCATTCTGTGATTCTGTGATTCTGAGATTTCTTTATTCACGGTAGCATGATATATTGCAGGTGTATCACTGAGTACCAGTATTACATGGTAGGTTCAGCTCTCCAGGAATTTGGTTACTGTCCTTAATATGATTTCATCATGTGATTTCTATTTCTAATTTCTTCTTTATCCTTAAACTAGGTATGCACACAAGTTTCAGTCACTGGTTTATTTGTGCTCAATTCATGATGTATGTCTTTAAAAGCCATGCATAGACATTTATGAGTTTATACATCCTTCTCCTCAAAATGCCACTTAAGTCTTTCAGAAAGCATATACTTTCACTAGTATTTTGCTGAGCAACAGAAATCTTGCTACAGCATATAACTGCTTATCTGTCACAGTATGAAGCTGATCTCATTTCACTACAAATATAATATTTAGATTTCATACTTTTCTACTTCTATAAATTAATTAATAACGGTGGAATATCTGAAAATGTGAATGATGTAAAAATCTCTTTTTAGCCTGATTTCCTTTAGCCTAAGGAAATTAGGCTTATGCCATTATCCTCTTTCTGCTTGGGTGTAACCAACTTTCTCTGCCTTGCTTCATCTCAGTAACTTGAACTCATTAGCCAATCTCAACGAAAATTAGCAGAAGGATTAGGATGTCATAATAAGGTGCATCAGGTTTCTGAAAACAGTCTGCCAAATGAGAAGGAGAACTTTGTACTGTCCTCACACAGTAAGACTTCAGTGAATGTGCATCCCTCATTGGACTCCCAAGAAGCCGGTTTTTAACTGGAATTGGACGAGATAGATACCAGTGAATCCAACCACATGACAAAAAGTCATAGAAAATCAGACTTTGTCAGTTCCACTCTTCACAATAGTTGCTTGTATAAAAATAACCATTTAATTACTTTGAACTTTTGCCTGTGGTTATGATGAAGCACTGCTACACCAATCAGCTTTGCCCTGTTACTTTTTCCGAAACCTTATCTGAACAGTCCTTCTAAGCTTTTAATCTTAATATCCTTTTTTTTTAATGTCTTGCCTCTGCAGAATTATTACTTTCAATTTGTGAAGAACTACGGTTACGCAAGGAGCTGATCCGATAAATGATAAAGACATCATCTCATTCATAAATGTTAGAAGTTTCTTATATCAGGACCCAGGATAACTTTGAAAGGCTTCAGCAGAACATCAGGCAAAGAAAACCCTAAGTGGGACACTGAGCAGCGTGTGCCACTTACTACGGCAACTGAGCTGGAGAGCGAAGGTGACTGCCTTAGATCAGAGGACATGTTTCTGAACATGGAAGCTGAGGTAGACGCTGGAGTGATTTAAGACAATATAACTTTGGAAACTGTGAGTTAGTATCAGCAATGAAGCTGACAGTTGCCATAAGTGTCAGATAGAGGGACTGTTATTCACTGATATGTGTATAAGCTAAGATTGTCTTTTTAACTTTGGCACAAGAGAAGCATAAACTGATGCATGATATGCAAACTGTTTCCTATATTTTAATTCCATGCTTTGCCTGATGCATGATATGCAAACTATTTCTTATATTTTTAATTCCATGCTTTGCCTGCTTTAAATGCATTTTCCTTCATGCAGATAACCTAAAAGGAGAGGAAATCATACTCCCTAAAGACAGGTATCTGAAGTTGAGAAATTCAGAAAGCCAAAAGCCCTGCTTATGGTGCCTAAGTAAAAGTGTTCTGTACTAATACAGTGTGTTACTATTATACTGGATAAAATCAGCACAACCAGAAAATCCTGAAGACCATGAAAGAAACGTGGTAAGGAAGAGAAACTTGGTAAACTCATAATATGCAGAAAAAAAGATAAACAAGAATGAAAGATAAAAGAAACCCTCTTAAAATACATATTCCCAGAAAGCTTACCATTTTATACTGTTTTTATTTTAAATAATTATTTCTGTTTTGTGTATTAAATTGCTCCAGAGACCTATGTGGAAAACAGTCCTGTCTGCAAGTAACAATCAAATTCAACTTTAACATTTTGTCCTTCAAGAAAGACCTTTAAACAAAATATTTATTTTCTCACCCAGCTATTCCCTTTGTATAACTAGAAGTGTGTCCCTTCTTCTTTTCACTCTCCCTAGAGAGGAATGTTTCTTTGTTTCTTATATTTTTATAAACCCTGAAAAAACATGGTATGAAATGTACTTGCTCAAAACTATTTGATTATTGACTGATATTAAAATTAGATACTTCAATGAAATTGATTAAGAAATATCAAATAGATCACCTCAGTTGGGTTCAAAACACTTAACTTTATGCGTCAATAATGTCGTTTATTTCTGAATGTCAATATGTCAGTATAGGAAAATAGCAATGTTAGGGCATGATTCACTTGACCTATTTTAGCTATCTTCTTTAGGAAATGCATAGCACCTTAAAGAGTTTATTTCCCTCTATCAGCAACAAAGACAGGCTTGGCTAACTAGCTCAGATAGAGACTGCAAATATTTACATTTGGTCAAATGAGCACACTTTTTTGCTAAAGGCTTCATTCACAGCTGACACTGGAGAGAGAGATGAATTATTCCATGAATTATTATTTCCAAGGGGAAAGGAAAAGACAAATGGGATCACCGCCCATGTCTGCCTCAAGCAATTGTAGGCACAAGCATAGTACTGCTGCAGTGATTTAGAGGTTAAGAGTTCTGCTGCAGGTAAAAGAAAAGTTATACTGCAGCTACGCTCGTGTCATGGAGTGATGTTTCATACACTGGGTTTCCGATACTCTGCTATTTGTCAAAACATCTATTGTGGAGTGCTACAACCACATGCGGGTTCTTTCTCATGGAAAAGTGTGTGAAGAGCTATGATGACAATATCCAGCTGATGTCCCCATACAGAGTCATGAGGTGGCTGCACATGCATCTGAGCTGGGAGATGGGAACTCAGAAGAGTTACTAGATCCAGGTACATGGATGTGCATAAAGCCAGCTAAAATATGAGGTATCTTGTAAAAAACAACAAAAACAAAACCAAAACAACCCCCCAAGCCCTGTTTCGACTTTATTTAAACATTTCCTATTTACTTACATGAAATTAAATATCATCAGATTTGAGACGTTTCTGTTCAATGTGTCAATTTCTGTGAAAAAAGATTTTTAGTGAAAAAATAAAGCAAAAAATTAACAAGTTTTTTTGTATTTCCTTTCTTTTGAATTCATATACATAAGCTCTATCTTCTACAATTTTACAGCACTGATTATTTGAAAGATATTACTAGATTTAAAATACAGAAACAGGGAACAAGAGAAAGAAAGAAAGAGGTGGAGAAATGTATTATTTATAGACCCGCTTCAGAAATATTTGGCTACTGCATAGTAGCTGGCAAATAAAAAGCCACATACTTTTTTGCCAAAATATGTATGCCGTATGGTTGCCAAAGACAAACCATCTGCAGTACATGTCCTTTGGGTGGGTACTATCTTGTTTCCTAAATGACCAGATTTACTGTGTCCAGAATAAAGAAGTGTATAGAAAGCAAAGAATATGTTAAAATAAAGGCAGAAGTATATTTATGAAAAAAAGAAGAAGGCTTTTTTTTCCCATAACATTTTTCTAAATGCAATTTACAAAATCTAACATCTCCTTTTGGTAAATCTGTAAGCATTCTAATAGTAATAGTGTACTGAAGTTATTTTAATTTCTGTACCGGAAAATTCATCCAAGTTCTCAGTGCCTTTACATAGATTACACAGTAACTAAATAGGGATCCAGATTTGCTGTGCAGATACGCTTAAATCTTACCTGCATAGACACTTATTCTTGATTAACTATTCCTCATTGCCTCCTGGAACAAATACTTTTTTCCAGACTGTGTGAAATAGTTTTATGTGTGAGCAACACATAGTAAGTATATTTGTATGGAGCAAACTCCAGGTGAAATCGCATGTTATGGCTCAGCCAGTCTCATAGCTCATCGTTCCAAAAGAAGGAGAAGGATCTCCCTCAGCCTTTGCCAACTTCTCCATCACTCTTCTGCATTCCTCCCTACCTGTCTGTTCCTGACCTCCTGAGGCTTTTCTCCCTCCTGTATTGACTTAGTACTTAAGGCCATTAACTGAATTAATTCAGCTTGCCAAGCTGGTAGAAACACAAAGGCGGCAAAGAGTTTTCTACAGTTTTAGTGAAATGAATTGGCAAAGTGTGAACTCAGATAAGCACCAGAAACAAAAGGCTGCAGTGGGGAGGGGAATAAGACCTCTTTCTGCTAGCAACAACAAACCACGGATCCGATAAAGACATAAAATGTAGCTTCACCCTTAGACTAAAGTTCTTTTATTCCAGGAAAAAAATTAATCAGGATTAGCTGTTCTGAAAACAAACAAACAAACGAACAAACAAATTGGCTATATAGCAGCTGAGAACACAGTCTAGTGTTTCTGTTTTTTCAAAACTATCAGTTATGTTCATCCATTATCTCATGCATGTAAAAACATGCGCATATACAATATTATGTATTAATCGAACAATCACCTCTTCTGCGTCTCAGCCCGTCAGCTATCGAAATAACTGAGAAAAGAACTTAATCATTTCAGGTTAGTCTGCATCTCTTTATAATAATTCCTGAATATCAGCTTGATTAGGTGCATTATGGATAAATGATCTGAACAGTAATGAAGTTAACCAACACCAGACCTAAGACTTGAATTTGTATAGATTAGGGAAGCAGGATTTCTTAAACTCAAGACTGAAAATACATTCAGGCTAATTAAATTTCTCAGCTATGTATATATTGTAAAAAGGCACTGATTACAAGAAATTGTGGAGATGTAAGAAAAATACAGCTTCATCCACTTTCTTAAAAAATGTAAGTACATACATTAATAAATTTTATATTAGCAAATGCATTTCTTTCAACTATGTTTTAAGAATTAAGAAAGAAAACAATATCTCTGTAGTTCTCAAGTATATTTCTTTCTTATTGGCTTCACCCAGTAGTTAACATGATGCTAAAGAAAGCTTGCCACTAAAGTTTTAATGTTCCCAGTTTAGAATTACTGAATAGAATTGACAAAAATTATAGTAAAAGTTATCTGCTGTAATTTTCTATTGGTAACTTGAGCAAAGACACTGCTGATAAAAACAGACAGGAAAGAAAAAGATCATATCTTTGCCTTCAATTTATATGTTGATTTACAACTAAATATTCTTTATTAAATACATGAATAGTGACAGTTTCATTAAATATCTTTATTTAAGTCTATATGCCCATGATGTGCGATTCAGCTTCCCAATATGCATAAAGAACTTGATTCTTTACATTGTAGCTGTTTTAATAAGGTATATATTGTTTGCTAAATATATGTTAATGAGACAGTATTTATGTAATTTAGCAGTCAATAAAACTATCTTTCCAATCCTCTGAAAATTGGTGGCAAATCCTGTGACTGGATTAGAATATAAATGTAGAGCAATGTCTATTTTTTTTATGAATGAATTGAAATTAATTTACAGGTGGCAATTTGTTAATTAAAACATTTCATTTAAATAATTGCTTTTGGTCATTTATCTTTTAGATAGCTTTGCTCTGTGATCGTACTGGATACCTATTTCACGGTTTAAAACCTAATATAATTAAATTCTATGTCCCTTCAAATAGCACTTGTTCATTGTAGTGTCACATTGACTTGGAAGATTAAAGAGAGTCTGACATAATGACTTCAGAGCCAACACACTTGCTTTCATTTATTACTGAAGCATGTAATTGTTCCAGTTCACACAACTGGTTTACTTGTTTAAATCCATTCTGTACTTTAAGTATCTATGCATTCTTACTATTTGTCACTCTCACTTCCTCTCTTCAAATAGGTTAATAGATAGTCATATTCAGCTTTTAGATAACAACTTCTGAAGTGCCTACTTATCTTCTTTCTTTTGTATTAGTCAATTTTCCAATTTCATCTACTTTTTCCCTCTAATTTACTCCATTAATAGTGATGAATGCTAATTTTTTTCTGTGTTGCTCATGAATAATAATAAAAAAAAAAAAAAACAGTGTGACAACGGGCTCGCCTGTGCAATTAACATTTTACTGGCTAAATCTGTTCATTTTTCCTGCATTTTCATTATGTGATGTAATACGACTTTCCCTGTCCCAATACATCTGAAAACATGAAACACACCAACAATTTTAAATTAGATATGTTAGCATAGAAGTGAATATGACCTCCGTTTAAGTCTATCCAAAAACATTTTCTAAGTTTCGGGCCTTGGAATCTCTCAGATCTTAGATCTCTTAGAATCTCTTCCACAGCACATCACTTTTTGACTAAACTGATCAAAATACTGTATCTTTTGTCCAAAGATTTCTCTGAGACCTTGTGATTAATATGAAATCCTAATGTGCCTCATAAGGATTTATATCTATGTCTGTCAGAATATTGGTGTCTGTATTAGCTACATGTGAGCTAGTTACCCCTAGGTTTCCTGTACAGAAAATGAAGAAAAATAGACACTTATAATAAGATCTCTGATTAAGTTTAGAAGTCAACATTAAGATGAGGTTCATCATTTCCAAAGGTCCAATAGTTATCTTCATTTGGTATAAAGGAAGACTATGTAACCAGCTCAGGCATAGATGTCAAAATCACGTGTCAGGAACCTCAGCCTCGGTGTGCCTACTTTTTCTCAGTTTTTAAGGCAAGTAGTATTAAAAGATATTCAAATTTTGAGAAAGATTTACTGGTTCATGTTTTTCTTCAGGAAGATGGTGATCACTTCCAGATGGCTCATTCACTTTTTTATCCAGGAGTTACCATTGCCAGGGTCTCCATATTCCTGAAAATGCTGTATGAAGTTTATCTGTAAACCAGCATTTACAATTTTACTTTATAGACAAACAAATCTAACAATGGTCAATCAAAAGGTCAGTAAAATAGTCACAAATGTAATCTTACGTTCTTCAACATACTGATCAGCTCAATGTGCCCTTATGTTAAAAAGTACTTGAACATCTTCTTAGTTTTGTTAAAAATGTATTCCAATTTTCAGTGAAAAGTAACTAAGAAGGAACAAAGATTTTACTTTGTGGAGCTGGAACAACAAGAAAAAATGATGAGAACTCCATGATCATAATGTAATGATAATATTATGTGTGACTAGAATTGTTAAGCACAACCAGCAAATGTGCAAACCATGGTGCAAGTAAAACTAAAGTTAATTAGATCCATTTACTTGGATATTTTTAGTTCATACAATATGAAGAAAAAAGAAAAGCATAATCTCTTCATTATATTCTGCTGAATGTCTGGGAACAGATTGTGTCCTTTTTCATAAATGCAAATGTAAACATCCAGTAAAATAAAATGTTGTATGTAAGGTAACAGATAGTACTAGAAGCCATTTTAGAGAGCAACAATTAATATCACTTGCATATCTTTTTCTCTACAATAGTAAAGATTACTCTGAAATTCATATGTAGCCAATGCACATATTTTTTAGTTATCTAACTGTGAAGATCTTCACTGTCTCCTGGAGATGCTTACCTAGCTTTTTGGACTATGACTTAAAAAGATCTGAATTGTAATGAATATTTCTAAGGGTGAGGTTGGGGCACCGCCTGGACTCCCGGCAAGGACGGATGCACAGACACAAGGCTGTTTAAAACCTCTATGTCTGAGAGGGGGTTTCCCGGAGATTTCCCAATCGATGTAATAATAGAGCAGGAGAGTCCTTGGTACCACTGAGAGTCAGTCCAGGGTGAGGAACGCCGGGGCTGAGGGGCACTATATGAAGTTTTTATGGACTACATACATGTGCAGTAAGCATATTGAGCTCATCGCTGCTTCCGATTCAAAGCCCAAGTGCAGCGCCACACTGGCACAGGCTCAGCCACTTGACCATGGGTCTAAATGCCCTGTTGATGCCCCCTTTCCCATGGAACGATCTGGCTGGCTTCCATCGCCTATCTCCTCGATATTCTTCCACATTTTCCATACAATATTGAAGACCTGAAGTAGGTGGAAAATAGAAATCACAGCATGACTTACTTCATCATATTATGTGGGGCTAGCAAGTAATTT